TGTGACGAGTGTCCGGGCCAAGGTGACAAGTGTCCGCCAGTATTGAGTGTACTGTGTTGTGCGTGAACTTTGCAAATGCTTGAATACTTTGACGAGTGCTCTTTTTGTAGTTCCGGATACATTTGATGCTGGTTAAGGCGTCTTTCTCACTTTGTAAGGATAAGTAAGATTCTAATACTGATTGCTTTTCCAACCTCCGCAGCCATGTTGGAACTCTCTCTTTATATATATTGCATTTGTGCTAAGTATGATCTTGCGTCATTGTGAGGTACTCATAATTGTTTTAGTTTTGAAGTAGTCAGAATAAAAAATGCATGTGTGGTATCAAATCTAATATCTAAAGTAAACACTCCTAGAAGTTCTACTCAAAACGGCGACGTCGCGGGATACCTGAACCGTGAAGAAGTTGGGTCATCTCGGCTACATCGTGCTTTAGATTTTCAAATGTTGCCTTTAGATCGCTCTCCCGCTCACGAATAGCTCTCAAATCATTTTTTAAGCTCAAATTCATGAAATGAAGCTTTGTGATTTCTGAAGCCGTACTTTGTAGTTGTTCCTCGATCCAAACTTGGTCCACCTGAGCGAGATATATCTCTGCGCTATCTTCAGCCAACTTTGCCAGATCTGCCGCAGCCTTGCATTCTGTGACGTGATCTTTCCAGCGGTGCTCAAACCGTCGCACCATAAAATACAACTCGGACGATATACGCCCGTTTTCCCCTTTCCGCGTTGCTCCTGAAGCTCTAGGAGAATCTTCATAGCACATTGGGCATTCATGCTCTCGGCGCAAGCAGCAGCGGATACTCTCGCGTATTGATTGGAGGTGAATTCTGATCTTAGCGCCATCTAAACTGCACTCTAGAAAATGGGTTTTGTGGTCCCGAAGATTTCGTAGCCATTTTTCAGGTTTGCTCCCAATTCTCTTCACAAACGACTGCCAGGATTTAGCTAGTGAATCGGGACTGGATCGTTGAAGGGGATCATATTGATCCTTTTTGTGGGCACGATAGTATCGCATCTGGAAAAATATATCAATCAGATATTGGCTCCTACTCACATCAGGAGGAACCGGAACATTGTTTAGCTCTGTGCAATCAAACAGCAGCGTTGAAGTCCCAGACCTG